CCCATTTGCAAGCTCGCCCAGCGCACACAGCCTTGCGCCCGGCGGGCTTGCCTAAACAGAGTCTCCAGGTGGTCGCGCGCCCGGCGCGAAGAACAGCGCCCAGCGCGAACTCATTAGTAACTCTCCCAAGTTCAAAAAATTTCCAAAACCTGCAAAACTTAATAGAAAATCCACATGCAAACGGTTCAAAGTGTCACATTTTCATCACACATCATGAAAAACATCTCCTTTTCAACATGAATTCACAGATTATGAAGATCCCCCAAATTCACCCAACCCCGAAAACCCCGAAAGGTCTCCTGTATATATCTTGTATGATCTCTTTGTATTATGGTATAGAAAATCAGTTTTCACTTAACCTAATTTTCCAGAGATAGGATGTCATTAATATTAAATAGTTCGGAATGCTGAGAATAAATGATTATAATGATTATGCTAAAGAATTAGGGATAAATCCTGAAACTTATTAAAGATCAAGAAGCAGAGAAAATTAGAAATAGGAATTATGCAAGGGCTATGTTATGTATGGGAGGGAATCTGATGAAAACATTTAGTATTATGAGACTATAAGCTCCACAACTCTGTAAAAATGACAATAATTGAAAGAAATTTTCTTTTCATTCTAAGCCAAGCTTCTAGAATTTATTGATTGACATATATAACACTGGATAAAAACTTTAGATCTTTACCTCAAGTAGTTTACTGATAAAGGCATAAAGTAATCAGAGAAATGGCCAATCTGCAAGCCACAAAATGACAGGTCCAAGTTTCTAATAACTGATGTCTGGTGCTTCTGCACTTCATGGTTCATACGTTTTAGGTAAGCTAATGCCAATATACCTTTTATCTTACTTTTTTGTAGGCTCGGTTGAATGAAATTATTACCTCTAATGCGAAAACAGTTGATTGCAATGGATCACCTGAATATCCTGGGACAGTTGATGGAGCTGGATTGCCATCCAATGCATCAGAATTGCTTTCCAATTTGGTAATGCTTTGTAAAAGTAGCTTTCAAGCATAGTTCATTAAACCACTTTGACATTGATATTCATAGGTCTATGCACGTCGTTTATATACAAGTAGAGTTTGAGTAAAAAAGGAAATAATAAATCCTAATTGATCCTATAATTAGGGTAACTACGAAGACCTAAATGATTGTCCTAATTTCGGTAATTAGGAAAGCCTAAACATTGATCTAAATATGGTAATTAGGATAGCCTAAATCATTGTCCAAATTACAAAATTAGGAAAGCTAATTATTACAATAACCCATGGAAACAAATCACTACTAATGTGGTTAGTGAATAAAGGTACATTTAAGATACAGCCAAATTTTTTCTCATTAGTTCTCACTTCTCACCATTAGTTACTGCTTCCTAAGTGCCTCTTCTATCGATAGAATGTTAAACTATTCTTGTGAAAAAGCAAGTATAGCCTGTGTATCCAAATATCTAATTAGTAATAATTTTTTATTTAATTTCTCAATTTTCTTATGCTCATAGTGTCAACAGGTAAAGTTGACTAAGAAGGTTACCGAACAAGTAAGACTACTTGCAAAGGATGAAAATGAGAAACTTACAGAAAGAAACTTGTATGATATTATTCCTCCTTATGACCAAGCAAAAGCACTTGGTAAGACAAATATTGACGTTGACCGAATAGCTGCTGGATTACCTTGCGGTAGTGAAGGATTTCTATTAATGTATGCTCGATGGAAAAAGCTTGAAACAGACTTGTATAATGAACGCAAGGAGTAAGCATTTTCCATTGTTGGGTTTAATCTTGTTGCTTTGTTTTTGCCTTACCTTATTTCTGATATTATAAATTTCACATTGTTAGACTTAGAGAATGCTGGTAAATGAGAGAAAAGTTAGTTACATACATGGCTAAAATCACACTGAAATTTTTTAAACTATTTATTTCTTATTTGATATATGAAATTCTTAAAGATATACTTCTAGTATTAAATTATCTCATCTAAATCATTTTTTTTCTCTGTCCATAATAATGTAGTACGTTTTAATGTTGTATCTTGTAGCATATTAAATAAGTGAGGAAAAAAAAAACTTCTACATAGAATTTATGACTTTAATTTTGTTAATTAAAATATTTTTAAATGCTTATAAGTTCAATTTTTAAATAACATTTTCCAATTACAATTTCATGAACTCTTGTGCATTACACGTGTTGCCAATGGGATTTATTTTTCTGGTTGTGTGTATTGGATTAGCAGACACGCTGACAATGCTTTTACTTGCACAGACGCTTTGATATCACCCAAATTCCTGATGTTTATGATTCGTGCAAGTAAGTCATCTCTTTTATCTTATGTTATGATAATTAAGTAGCCCATTTCCAACACTACTATATTTATACAACATTGCAGTTGTGGAGACAGATCATGATTCTATGTTGGAACTCTATCATTATGTGATGTAAATTAAATAGAAGACTTTTTTTCATGGCTATCAATTTCTGGGAACTTGTTCATGTAGATTTCAATGGGAAAATATGTAATTCAAGAGTCTTTTGTTTCCCAATGGCTATAATAGTACTAGCATTAAAACTTTTACTTTCCCCACTACTCTTCTTGGACGTTTGTATCAAAGAACTAAAAGTTCAACTTGTTTAATTAAATGTGCAAAAGTTTTGTAAATACATAAGCAATATGAATCAAGGTATATGATCCATTCAATTTTATGATGTCACTTTTTAATTATTGAAGTTAAATCTTTAGTGTCACTACGATGACAAGGAGTCAACAACTAAGTGTGTTTGGTTTAACGGTGGTCCACTTTCCAAAGTAGTTGAACGTGAAAGCAAGAATTTGCTAGATTCATGTTTAATGTGGGTTTGAACGAAAAAACAAACATGCTCTAATGCCCTGGAGTTTAATTTAAATTATGTAATTTTTATTATTTTCTGGTGGTAAGTTAATGTTGACTTATTGCAGATATGATCTCTTGCACAACGCACATCTTAATCTTGAAGGACTTGATGAGCTTTTCAAAGTTGCCCAGGTATGTAGAAGTATGTCAAGGAAACTTCCCAACTCAAAAATGATTATTAGATTTGAAGAAAGACAAGAGAGAATGAAATCGGGATCACAAATTGATATGTGCTGATAATCAAATTAGAATCAAATATTCTAATTGATATGCACTGGTCTCCAACACTCCCCTTCAATTTGGGTGGTAGATGCCAATCATACCCAAATTGGATATGATGTTTTCATGTGTTCCTTGAAAGAGCCGTTGTTTGGATATTTGTTGTTTGCCTGCATGATGGAACATGGTCAACACTTATAATATCATGGTCAATTTTCTCTAATAAAGTATCGGTCAATCTGCACATGCTTTGTCCTATCATGTTGGATTGGGTTCTTTGCTATGCTTATAGCAGCTTTGTTGGCACATAATTTCCTCATAGTGTAAACGATAGGAATTTTGATTTCATCCATCACCTGCTTAAGCCAAATTCCTTCACAAATACCTTGAACCATAGCTCTGAATTAAGCTTCTGCACTACTCTTTGCCACCACAAATTGTTTCTTGCTCCCCCAAGTCACCATGTTTACCCACATAGAGGAGCAATAGCATGTAGTTGATTTTCTGTCAGAAGAACATCCTGCCAATCCAAGTTTGTATAAACTTCAATGCCTCTATTTGAGTTCTTAAAGTAGAGCCCTCGGCATGGTGTACCTTTGAGGTATTGGGGAATTTTGTTCAATACAACGGAAGGTTTTAACCGGTGAAGGATTCTTACCAATAAGGAGTTAAGTGAAGTATTACTATTTGAAGTGTTGTGGAGACCCGCTGCTAAAACCTCAAATATGAAGAGGGTTACAACCTTGACCAAGGAACCAAAGTTCAATAGAGGCAGACCAAGACAAATAATTTCTGCCATTAATTTTTTCTGTAGTTGTAGTAGGAGTGCTACAGACAGAAAGAACAGGACCAGGACTAGTCATTTTGTTGTTACATAGGATGACCGAAGCCCAAGAGAGAGAAGATGGACGTACTCCAAATATAATGAAAGTGGGAGGTGAGGCTTGATATGGAACTAGGAGACGCTGACGAGCAGACTGGCACTGGCGTGACAACTTTCCAGGGATCAAAAATCGGCGCTTGAACTGCACACACCTGACTGGGCAACGCAAAAGGGTGACGTGTGTGAGAGCGTGAAGAGGTTTCTGACCTTGAAACCTCCTAGGTTGAGCCGCACTTGTAGAGGTGGACTAGATCTGGTAGTTGCCGGAGAAAAGATAAGGGCCAGTGGCCAGCAACTGTAGATGCCACTGGACAGTGACAGGCAAAGTATGATTGACACACTCTAATACCAACTTGATATTAAGAGTATGAATAAACTGCTCGAGTATTCAACTCACTCAGCAGATCATTATATAAAACAATAATCGGAGCAGGTTTACATAGGGAGAGAAAATACTATATCCTAGAACCTATATACAATCAACAAACAGATTTATAAAAGCTGTACAACAGATAACAAAACAGCTTTTCTTACATTAACAAATCATCCTGAGGCGATGTCTTTGAATAAGATAGTTTCTCTGGTGAAGTGGCGATCTTTCTTTATGTGTTTGGTGCTCTTAGCAATATGGAGGGCTGCTAGATTGTCACAAGTATCATCTGTGCAACTTCCTCAAACCTCAGTTCTTTGTGCAACTGTTTGAGCTAGATTAGTTCACAAGTGGCTAGGGCCATGGCTCAATATTTGCTTCTTCCCTTGATTTTGCAACAACATTCTGTTTCTTGCTTTTTCAGGAAATCAGATTGTCAGCAATAAGAATGCAGTAGCCAAAATTCCCATCTGAACAGTGTTGGTTTAAACATTCAGAAAGGAACTATATAATTAAATAACTAGTATTTATTGCTTAAAATATTCCTTGTAGAAATAAAATCCCTACGTGTACTACTTTCCCCCTTGTATATTTACTGATGTGTTCAATCTTATCACTTTCCTAATTGCTTGGCCAATTTATTTGCAGATGCTTGCAGATGGTGTAATTCCAAATGAATATGGGATTAATCCAAAGCAGAAGCTGAAGATTGGCTCAAAGGTAAACTCCTTTTGTAAGGAGACTCTAATTTTCATTTTACATTACAAATCTTTAAACAGTTATCTTAGTCTTCCCTTGTACATATTTTATTCGGTATGGCCACTGCAAAATCTGCAACCAACCACCCAAGATAAGGGAATCAAAACCATATCTTCATTGATATCCACTGAATCCTTCTTACCCAATTTGATATGAATACCATGTTGAATCTCAAAAGGCTACAATGAAGTTTTTTTAAAAAAACTTCATCATCTCCAGATGCTAATTGTAAATGGTACACCTCCAGAGATCTCTCTCATACCCCTAAACACCCATGATTCACTTTATGTATTATTGATATTCTTTGTGAATAATGAATTTTAGATTGTTCCACTATGAATTTCAGGATCAGATTATCTGAGCCCTTGCTCTCTGTTTTTGGCAACATGAAGCCTTAAGTGTTTTCTGTAGCATTGTGTTTTATGCTTTCTGTTTTGAGGAAGAAAAGAAAGAAAGCAGAAGTTATAATGTTTATAAATCTTGTGGCATTGATTTAATTTGAATTTTTGAAATATGTTGTACAAACCGCAAAAGCAAACAGGGGTTGAATGAATAGCAAGGGAAACTGCTCTTAGCTCTCTTTTTTCCTTTTCTGTTTTGTGGGCTTTTATGGGCTGCTCCTCATCTATTTTGGGCCACGTATCTTTCTGTTTTTCTTTTCTGTTACATGTGTATCTTTCTGTTATTTTTCCCTTCTCCCTTCTTGTATATATGTCGCGTTCTGCAATCAATAATAACAAGATGGGATATTGAGTATTCTCTTGCAGTTATTTCATCTTCCTTCTTTCACATATTTTGTTATGGTATCAGAACTCTTCCATTGAAGAGCTCTGTTGTGCCCTCTGATCTTGTTTTTCTTCTCGGATCACCATGGAATATGAACAAGTACCTGGTGTGCACAACTATCTTTACCTACATCCTAGTGGAAATCCGGCTACATCTCTTGTATCCCCTGTTCTCGATTCAACAAATTATCATTCATGGAGTAGATCATTCATTATAGCGCTTAGTGCGAAAAACAAAGTCGAGTTCATTGATGGTGGTGCTCCACCTCCTCTCAAGACAGATCCCCTTTACTCGGCGTGGTGTCGCTGCAACAACATGGTTGTGTCGTGGCTGGTGCATTCGGTTTCTCCTTCAATTCGTCAAAGCTTTCTCTTGATGGATCAGGCTTATGACATTTGGAAAGATCTCAAAACACGTTATTCACAAGGTGATCTTCTGCGCGTCTCTGATTTGCAACTTGAAGCTTCTTCTCTCAAACAAGGTGATTTTTCCGTGACGGAATATTTCACGAAGCTTCATATCATATGGGATGAATTAGAAATTTTCAGACCTAATCCTGCTTGTTCCTGCACTATCAAATGTGCCTGTTCTATTCTCACCATTATTGCTCAACGCAAACTCGAAGATCAAGCTATGCAATTTCTTCGTGGATTGAATGATCAATATAATAATGTGAAATCCCATGTTCTTCTAATGGACCCACTACCACCCATCTCTAAGATATTCTCTTATGTGGTACAGCAGGAACGCCAACTTCTGGGTCAGAACTTCATTGCTAATGTTCATCTTGATCAAACCTCCTCTGTTAATGCTATTACCTCACCCACCTGCACTCATTGCAACCGAATCAGACACACTGAAGCAGTGTATTTTCGTAAACATGGTTTTCCCTCTACCACTAATCGAAACAATAAAGGCTCCTCTAATCGGCCCCGACGTATTTGCACTCATTGTGGAAAAAATGGTCATACCATTGAAGTTTGCTATCAGAAGCATGGTTTCCCCCTGGATCTCAGCCTTTATCAAATAAAACTGCAAGTGTCAATCACACAGTGACTGGTGATTGCAAAGTCACTGAGGGTACTCAATCCCTTGAATCCCAAGATGTTCGTTTCACCCCTCAGCAGTATCAAGCTTTGCTTGCTTTAATTCAACAATCCACTACTAGAAACCTGTTTCTCCTTGTGTCAACCAAATCGGATCTATCGCTTCTTCTTACACAAAACCTTCCTCTTCCTCAAGTACTCATTTTCTTAATGTTTGTTCTGTTATCTCTACTCCTTCTTTCTCTTGGATTTTGGATTCTGGTGCTACAGATCATGTTTCTTCTTCTCTTTCACATTTTTCTTCTTTTTCACATTTTTCTTCTTTTTCACCTATTAATCCTATTGATGTTAAGCTTCCTACTGGGCAACATGTGTTGGCCACCCATTCCAGTATTGTTAAGTTTACTAACTCTTTCTATCTCGTTGATGTTTTATATATTCCAGATTTTACTTATAACCTGACTTCTATCTCCAAATTAGTTTCCTCTCTGCCGTGTCAACTCATTTTTGGTCATCATTCTTGCATCATCCAGGAAACGAATACCATGAAGAAGATTGGTATAGTTGATGTAAATGGAGGACTCTACAGTTTCACTGCCAGCAACATTCATAATCCCTCTACCAATTCTATTATTGTTCACCCCAAGTGTAGCATCCAACCCATCGACTTGTGGCATTTTCGCATGGGTCATTTATCCCATGAACGTTTACAATTAATGAAACAATCTTTCCCTTTTCTGTTTGTTGATAAATCTTTTTCATGTAACACTTGTCATCATGCCAAACAAAAGAAATTCCTGTTTTCTTTGAGCCATTCATATGCATCGCAACCTTTTGATCTCTCTTACACATGGATATATGGGGGCCTTGTTCTGTTACTTCTACGCATGGACATAAATACTTTTTAACCATTGTCGACGATCACACTCGTTTTACTTGGCTGTTTCTTATGCAAAATAAATCAGAAACTCAACAACACATCATGAACTTCATTACTAAGGTTATAACTCAATTTGATAAGCATGTTAAAGTGATACGCACCGATAATGGTTTAGAATTCTCCATGACACAATATTTTTCCTCTAAGGGAATCATTCATCAAACAACTTGTGTTGAAACCCCTCAACAAAATGGCATCGTTGAGAGAAAACACCAACATCTTTTAAACATGACTCGATCTCTCCTTTTTCAAGTCAATTTACCTTCTATTTTTGGTGTTTTGCTCTTATGCATGCAACTTTTCTTATCAACTGCATTCCTACCCCTTTTCTGCATAATATATCCCCTTTTGAAAAACTTTATGGCCACCCAAGCGATATTTCCATACTTCGTGTGTTTGGATGTTTATGCTACAGCAGTACCATTACCTCTCATAGAACCAAGCTAGATCCCCGTGCTCATCCTTGCATCTTCCTTGGTTTTAAACCCCACACTAAGGGTTATCTCCTTTTAAACCTTCACAGTCACGGTCTTATAGTTTCACGCAATGTTATTTTTCATGAAGATCATTTTCCTTTTTTCACTAACCCTCATTCTCCTTCTTTTTCTTATCCTGTACCCATTCATTCCACTTATGATGATTATCCCACCTTCCCTTCTTCCACCATTGTTGAGTCCTCTGACCCGCCCACTCCTGAACAACATTCTTCTCCTCCAACTCTTTGACGCTCTACACGTCCACGCAGACCGCCAACCTATCTTAAGGACTTTCATGGTGCATTTACATCAACTGGTACTAATTCTTCCACAGGTATTCGTCATCCTCTTCACTCTTTTCTTTCTTATGATCGTCTTTCTCCTTCTTTTCATCACTATGTTTTATCCATTTCTTCTGTTACCGAGCCAAAGAATTTTGTTGAAGCTTCCAAAAGTGATTCTTGGCTTAAAGCAATGCATGAGGAGATTTCTGCATTAGAAGCGAATAATACTTGGGTTCTTACTACTTTGCCTCCTCACAAGACAGCAATTGGATGTCGTTGGGTCTATAAAGTTAAACACAAGGTTGATGGTTCCATAGATCGATACAAGGCACGCCTTGTTGCAAAGGGGTAATACCCAAATGGAAGGTCTCGATTTCTTCGACACTTTTTCCCCTGTTGCTAAATTAACCACTGTTCGACTTCTCCTTTCTTTGGTAGCTATTCATAGATGACACTTGAAGCATCTTGATGTTAACAATGCTTTTTTACATGGTGATCTAAATGAAGAAGTCTACATGCAATTACCTCCAAGGCTTACACCATCTTTTCAGTGCTCTCTTTATGGCCTTAAACAAGCCAGTAGACAATGGTATGCTCATCTCTCGTCATTCCTCATTCAACATGAATATGTTCAATCCCCTTCTGATCACTCATTGTTTCTTAAGTGTTATTCTGCCACAACTACTGTTATTCTGATATATGTTGATGATATAGTTCTAGCTGGCAATGACTTAACTGAAATTCATCATATTACTTCTCTTCTTCATTATACTTTTCAAATCAAGGACCTTGGTAATTTAAAGTATTTTCTTGGTCTGGAGGTAGCTCGCAATCACATAGGGATTCATCTATGTCAGAGAAAGTACACTCTTGATCTCATTTCAGATACTGGTATGCTTGCTTCAAATCCTGTTTCAACACCCATGGATTACTCCATGCATCTCTATGCTTCATTTGGCACTCCCCTCACTGATACTTCTACTTATTGTCGTCTTGTGGGCCAATTAATATATCTCACCAACACTAGACTCGACATCACCTATGTTGTCCAGCAACTCAATCAGTATGTTTCCAATCCAACAACAGCTCATCGCCAAGCTTTATTTCGTACTCTCCGATACTTGAAAGGAACTCCTGGCTCAAGGATTTTTCTCTCTGTCAACAACTCAGTTCAGTTGAAAGCTTTTAGTGATTCAGATTGGGTCAGTTGCCTCGATACTCGTCGTTCCATAACTGGTTTTGTTGTCTACCTTGGAGATTCTCTCATTTCTTGGAAATCAAAGAAACAAATCACTGTCTCTCATAGCTCTTTTGAAGCTGAGCATCGTGCCTTGGCCACGACCACTTGTGAACTTCAATGGCTATCCTATCTTTTGAAGGATTTTCATATTGATCCTATTAGCCCAAGTTTCTTGTATTGTGATAATCAGTCTGCCTTGCAAATTGCTTCCAATCAAGTCTTCCACGAATGCACGAAGCACATTGAGATTGACTGCCATATTGTGCGTGACAAAGTTTCTACTGGTCTGCTTAAGCTTCTTCCCATGTCTTCTTCTCTGCAACTAGCTGATATACTTATGAAGCCTCTTTCACCATGTATGTTTCGCAGTCACTGTTCCAAGCTGGGAATGATTAACATACATTCCCAGCTTGAGGGGGGCTCTTAGCTCTCTTTTTCCTTTTCTGTTTTGTGGGCTTTTATGGGCTGCTCCTCATCTATTTTGGGCCACGTATCTTTCTGTTTTTCTTTTCTGCTACATGCGTATCTTTCTTTTATTTTTCTCTTCTCCCTTCTTGTATATATGTCGCGTTCTGCAATCAATAATAACAAGATGGGATATTGAGTATTCTCTTGCAGTTATTTCATCTTCCTTCTTTCACATATTTTGTTAACGGCTTTTTACTTCTTTTGGTAATTAGAAAAACACCTCAAAAAGTTCATGTTCTGCTTGTATGAGGGTTATCACCGTACCGTGTTGCCACACCTTGATTACAAAAATTAATAGCCCTATCAATTTCTTTAGTCATATTATATCAACATTGATTATCTAAATGTTGTTACCATCTTCCAAACCAAAGAGAAATAAGAAACCTTTTATAACTCCTTTAGCTCCATGCAGTTTATATTGCTTCATGATCATTTGAACGCAGTACTTGAATTAAATACATTGTTTCTACATATGTACTTAAAACTATAGCCACCTGATTAATTTGTTTTTCACTGTTTCAATTCAGATTGCTCGTCGGTTATTGGGAAAACTTTTGATTGATCTGAGAAACACTCGAGAGGAAGCCATTAGTGTTGCTGAGCTAAAGAATAACCAAGCCCAGTCATTATCTGTAAAAATTGAGAAGGAAGATGCAGAAGCCAAGTCAAAATTATTCCATAAGAACGATGAAATAGATCAAGATGATGATGATGATAAAGAGACCAAATATCGTTTAGATCCAAAGTGAATATCTGGTCCTCATCTGATTTTCGACAATATTATGCTCCATTCTAATCTTGTTATGTTGCACCAGGTATGCAAATGTGAAGACACCTGAGCGTCATGTGCGAACACGCCTATACTTCACATCAGTGAGTGTTCTTAAATACTATTTTTACCAACAATTTCTTGGAAATTGAAAATTTTCATCATAATGGTTGGGGAATAGGTTGTATTTGACATCTTATCCATTTTGTTTTTTACGAGAAAAGATTTGAGTTGTTTTACACCAATTGATCAAGTGATATAAGCATGTCCTGTTTATATAAACATGCATAACTATATTTCATTTTGACTTGGTTCATATTTAACTTGGTGGTATTTCTCACGATGAAAAGGCGGCCCAGTCATCAATCTTATTGTTAAATTAATTATTGTGGAGGAGATTTATACAGGCATGTTCATATATATAAAATCATTTTGGGGTCTTCACGTAGCAACTTAAACTTTTGGTCTTGAGTCTTGACATAGTATCAAAAGCCTCTTATGATCAAGTGATGAGGTGCGTTAATGGGGCCTCTGCATTATTCAAGTTTCAAGCTTAATGAGATCTTAGTATCTTACCTGACGGGGTGTGTTAAATTAGAAATTTAGGTATATAAAATAATTCCCGGGCTATCACGGAGCAGGCTTAAGCTTTTAGAAAAATTGGCATTTGACAATTGCATTAGTGGCAAATTGACTTAAAAAATTTGCCGAAGATGTTTCCTGTCTTTGCTCGAGTGACATTCTTAAGTTAAGCATAATTTTTTTAGTACGAAGTTTCTGTAGTATGAGTCCATTTGGTTGAAGTTATTTGGTTCGTATGTTATTGATTCATTATATTGTATCTTAAACAGAACAAAAATAGCAGAGCTCATATGACATTGAATCCTCAAGTCCTGAACTGCAAATACATTGAAACAGTGTGATTCATAAAATTTTGATATTCATACTCTGGCTTATTTTGTTGACAGGAATCACATATTCATTCTCTGATGAATGTTCTTCGTTATTGTAATTTGGATGAATCCCTTCAAGGAGAAGAGAGTCTTATTAGCCATAATGCTCTAGAGCGACTATGTAAAACAAAGGAGCTTGACTATATGAGCCACATTGTGCTTAGGATGTTTGAGAACACGGAGGTGGGTGATTTTGGCAATAACATGAGCATGAATAGTGTGTCTCTATGTAATGTGTGATTTAATATTTGTATTTATTGAACTTTAAAATGGTAGGTGGCTTTAGAAGATCCTAAAAGGTACCGCATAGAGCTGACCTACAGCCGTGGTGCGGATTTATCCCCCCTGGAGGTAATGGTATATGGTATATTCAACTAAATAGAGGAATACAGAATCTAATAGTAATATGTTACATGTGGTGTTGGCAGAAGAATACTTGTTTACATCAGGAGCACACATTGCCTATCAGGGGTCCAGAGAGGCTGCAAGAAATAGGATCATATCTTACATTAGAAACTATGGAGAAGATGATTCGTCCATTTGCTATGCCTGCAGAAGACTTTCCTCCAGGAACACCTGCATCATTTTCTGGCTATTTCTCAAAAAGCATGCTTGAGCGTCTCGTTAACCTTTGGCCTTTCCATAAACACCCCAGTTCTAATGGAAGATAAAATTACCTTTATTTAAATTTCATTTCATTTGTTTTAGTTGTTCTACCCTTGCTCCCTCTCCCATTAGAACAACTATAAATAAATAAAATTTAAATACAAACTAATTACGGTTAATTCTTGATTATCCAGAGCGAGCTTTGGAGAAAATTTTGGAACATCTAGCAACCCAACAATAATGTTGCAAGTAGTAAAAAGTAGCCTTTAGTAATTTAGTAATAAGATACACTTGCTTCCCAGTCTTTCAATTATTATTATTGAAGTAAATAATATGTATTAACAGTACATCTTATCGTTATGTATAGTATATTTGTTCTACCTTAAATATCATATTGTCATATTAATGATAATTGGTTAATCTAAATTAATACATTACTAGTATTTAATAATGTGATTATTTTAGATTAATTGAAGAACATAGTCTGATCGGCAATGGTATGTACTCCTGACTCCTGAGCCTACAATTACAAATTTACGATCAATACGTCAATGCTAATCGTGAAATCAAACGGCGTGTGGAACTGTTTTGGATCTATGTATCAATTCATGGGCCAGAAAGAACGAAAACTAGTGTATATATTTCTCATAAATAAGACGAGCATGTCATATCTTGTGAAAATTTAATTTTAGAACAGAAAAAATCATTCAAAATGATTTATAAACTCCTAGAAGTTTAATTTTGCCAAGTCTTTTTCAAATCACTTCAAAAAAATTTAATTTGAAAGAGGGTTCAATATGTTCCGGAATCAATTTGTTAAAAGAGAATTTAACACATGTCAATTAAGTTTTCAGATGTGATTAATAAGCTAGATCGAAATAAAATTCCGAAAGTAATTTATAAAACTTTCAAGATTAAGCAATTTAGAAATGAAAAAAATAAGCAGTGATTTCTTTTAAAAATAAAAATAAAATAAATAAAAAATTAAAAAAAGAAACTGGTACAAAAGTATAATCCTGTGGGCTATGAAGTGCGAAGCAGTTGCAACTTGTAGGCCTAGTATATAAACGAAATACCCTTAATATGATGATTCGGCCTAAGCAATGGTGCAAATTGTCTTTCCGTAGGTTGCCTTCTGAACTTAACATGGATCTTATACAAAAGCTGCTTAGAACTTGTATAAAACCAAAAGAATTAAAACATGAAAAATTAATGATTTTTTTTAGCTTATTTTTTCACATGTAAAAAAAAAAAAAAAAAAAAAAAAA